GACGTTGCGTGCCTCCCGGGACTTGGTCTGGCGTCTGGTCTGGCACGCCACCGCGACCACGGAAGGACTGCTGACGTTGCGTGCCTCCCGGGACTTGGTCAGGCGTCTGGTCTGGCACGCCACCGCGACCACGGAGGGACGGCTGACGTTGCATACCTCCAATGGTGTTTGTTGCAGCGGAATCTGCCATGTTTCGCGAGTTTATGCGGCGAAGAGCAGATTGGGAAACTTGAGAGCGTAATCCAGTGTCCCGAATGGACGGCTGACGTTGCAGGCCTCCTGGTTGAAACTTGTCGGCGTTGGAAAGGGACCTCCCCGGTGCGACCGGATTGCGAAACGACTGGTCTCTGTCAAGTTCCCTTGGTGAGTGCTTCTTTCCACGTAGACAGCAAATAATACCGATGACGATTCCTACTAGAAGTGCGCCAGCTGCGGCAATGGCCGCAATTGCCCAAGCAGGCACTCCCTTCGATTTGCCTGTAGGCACCACGGTAGACGTGGGTGCTACGGTGCTCGTCATTTTTGCTCTCCCAAACCCAGTGATCTATCGCTGCACTCTTGTCAACTCAAGGAACTTGTACGGCCAAAGTGTCTTCAGTATTCCGCCAGCATTGGATAAACAGGGGGGGGGGGAAAGAGGGATAGAGAGAGAAGAGAAGTAATGCCGCACGCGACGCAAGAAGAGGGCCCAAAACAACAACAATATTAGATAAGAAGCATTGAAGAAAATGACCTCCGCACAATCATCATACAAAAAAAAAAAAAAACAAGCGTGCTATACAGCAAACCCCAAAGATTGTTGGCCCAGAGAGAACCGCAATTCGGGCCGCGACAGAGCCTCCTCCTCTCTCCGTTGATATGAGTAGGTTGCAGCGTAGACACGGTTGCCAAACGAGGAATAACGGCGCAAAATAGCCTTACTCCATTTTTCATCTGACATACCACACTCACTCGTAGCAGTACCTATCCATGGGACTAAGTTCTGTAATGACACCCCGCACAAACAAATTGGGATCCTTAAAGCGTTCCGTTGCTTTAGGAACACGACTCACACGCTCACGCCAGTGAGGCTCAAGTAGTAAATCCATCTCCGACTTGTAGTATGCATTGTTCGCCACCATAGTTGATGCCATGCCCCGTATGCTCAGCGCCTTTCGCATTTGCGAGCCTCGGTACACCTTTTGGATGTCAGGCTCCACGTCCAGCCATTTATACCCTGAATGAATCCGGCTCTCCCGAATTGTCATAACACCCTTCGTAGTGGCGTACAGAGTGAAGGTGCTCGGGTCCATGCGAACGTTTCGCCCTGGACGGTAGTCAGGCAACCTTGAGTGACGGTCCTGGCCGTAACGACGTCGCTGCTCCTTCAACTTCTCCATGGGCGTCACCGGGGTGCCCGGTATGACATGAAACAGTTTAGCCTTGCGACGGGGATGGCCCGCCTGGTTTTTTGCATTGCCCGCGGTAACTTTGCTGGCGAGACGAAGCGGCGACAGACGCAGCATTGGCGGTCGGCCCCACTAACACTACAACACACGCAAAAACGACAAAACCTACAACAATTGCCCCTAGCAACTGCTCTACGGCGCCAGCAGTGGGAACACATCCGTGAAATCCATACCACAAAAAAAAGGGGAAAAAAGCAACAACAACACGAATCAATAAAAAAAAAGCACAGTAGGATCTTCAAGCAAGACGGAAGTGGATATCCGTGTGCATCACCGACCTCTTCCTTCCACCTTCATCCGCAATTACTTTACTTCACAACGCGTTTAATGTCAGGCGCGCAATGTCAAACAGAGAATGAAAAAAAACAGTGGAGCACACAAACACTCAAGCAAGAAAGGGGAGGAGACCGATTTCGCGGTACGAGCCGATAATCCCCACATTCGCAAGAACGACGGCATTTCCTTTTCTGCAAGGCCCCTTCCTCTTCTTCTCCATCGGGTTACCGCAAGAACACGTGAAGCATCACCACCGTCCACAGGCAGCGGAAGTTTAGGCGCAGTCTCTTACGCCCCGCTCGTGTTGGCTGCAGTCGCTCCCACCTCAT